TCTGTAATAAATATTATTCGTATAAATGGTATTACCATTCGTTATATATATTATATATATATATTATATAATATATAATATATATATATATATCAGCAACACAATATGTATATATGTATTATTATGTATGTAGAATTTGATTGACTTAGCTTATATTATTCTTACTGTGTATTGTATAAAAGAATGCATAAGAGGATAGGCCGTACAAGTATACTATTTCCATTAAACTATGTATGACTTTATGCTTATTTTGGAAATCTAAACGAGTTGATAACCATCACAGAACAGAAAAATACTGCAAATAATATTGAATTCAAGTATTAAACGGAATTTAAATAGTCAAATATTCATCGTGTTCCACTTTCATTACTTTTTTCACACGTTACATTATTGTACAATGTTTACTTTAAATTTCTAAAAACGACATTATGTCGTCTGTTGAAATTTCGTAATTTCTTCGTTAATCGAGAAATAAATATTGGATAGTAATATTATCAAGTAAAAGTTGTTAATAGCAATGTTATTAAGTAATAATTGTTCATAATGTAGCATATAATACTGTCAACTTGGTTCGACAGCGAGTAAGAAGCATTTTATGATGAAAGTACCTTCAGAGAGTATACGAACTTTGTTATATTTATATTATTTCCATATTATATCGTCGGAGAGAACCATTCGTCCGATATATTTGGTTCATTTGGATGTTATTTGACCGTATTAAACTTTCTAAATCTATTAGCAATGACAATACGAGAATATTAAAAATTATTTTGTGTTTACTTGAAAGATATTTTTTTTATAACGCTATTATATGTATAAGATATAACGTGTGTTTTTATGAATAAATATGTGTACGGGATTCGATAGCATTGTGCGATTACAAAACATTATCTATTCGGATCGATCGACCTACTTCCTTAACAGTCTTGATAGAACAACTTGATTGGTTCGTCTAATATTCACTTTTAACAATTAGGAAAGGCACCTAAGAGGGATCCAGCCCTACCTTGTAGAAGAAAATATATTCATTGTTCCACTTGCTGTGCGTTTTCTTATAAGACGTGCTGCCACTATAAACGTTTAATTTAAAAACATCGTTATTCAATGTCTTTGACTTTGCTTTCTCTCAATCTTTTTCCCTATTTCGATAAAAAAAAACTTACCAGTTGCATCTTGCGGAGTGAGCGGTTTATCTATCACTTTTTGAATTACGTTCATCCATTGTGATCTATCATCGTCGCTTTGAGCAGAAAGAAGATAAGTCCTATCTGGCGTTTCAAGAGTAAATGAAAATCCCTGATCTCTCGCACCTGGAGGCACTCCTGGTTTTACTGCAAAACCATCTGAACTATGACCCAAGAAAATTTCACCTTTTGGATGTGCATCCTTTGAATTGAGACAAAATAGATTTATCGATTATCTTTTAACGGTCGATTGTCTTTTAATATGCGAGTTTCTATTAAATAAATATACGCACCATAGGATCGTCGTGATACATCAATTTTCGTCCATCTAACGTAAACCATCTTTTCTTGTACGCATCCGTATACCTAGGTCCAGTTTTCCATAAAAATCCTTCGCGTGGAAAATCTCTGGTTAATTGTGAAAGTAATTCCGCCTCTGTTGCTCCTGGATATGCAACTTGCAAACGATGTAGCTTGGCACATCGTATTGCCAAATACCAATTTGTGATTACTTCTGGATCCTCGTGATATACGTAGATATGTCTTGTGGTACCATCTTTCATAAAAGAAATTTGTAGACTGTTTTGGTTACAAGTTTTGGGAGGAGCAAAAGCCACGTTTAATTCAGATATTCTAAGGACAGCTTTGGGTTCCTTGAAATACAATATAACATGATACAACAGAGCTAGCACGTGCCAAGTATCAAGTAAAAACGTTTGTAATGAATAATTCGTAAACCTTATTTTCTTTAACGTGATACTTGAGAGTATCTTCTGCCTCGCAAAGAACAAATTTTCTAGGGTGATATCGCGAATCTTCTTTGCCACGTTTCATCAAAAATCCTTCCATGAATCCTGAAACATAATGATTTTGCCTTTCTGGATGACAAAACTCTTCCCTTTCATATTTCGCTCTTATCCACTGCTCTACCAGTACTCTGTTGATTGAAAAACACGACTTATAAAGTGTATATTTATTTTCAATTTAATGTAATTCAAATATACGTGTGACAACATACTGTGGCGCATCTGGGTTTGGTCTGCGATAACATGGAGGTACACGTTCTTCGTAATGAAGCCTAGCTGCGATATTACCCACTTCTCTGATTCTGTTTACTTGAGAATCCTCCCACCTGTCCAGCTTTAAATGTTTAACTTTAGAAATATGTGCACCCATTGATCTATGTATACCCGCGCACCTTGTGCACACAAATATCCCTATGTTATAAGAAGCCCATTCTGGATCTGGAATTTAATTCCAATTAATCTTGTGAAAATGTTTTCTGATTTTCTGGAATGGTTATAATTTACTCCAACGTACGCAAACATAAATACTCGTGACTACAAAAGCAATTCTAACCAACGACAAGGAAATATGACATATTGATACGAGAATACATATTTTTATAACGACAATAGCTAATCGTTCTTATCATATTAGCTATGTATCATCGCAGAAAGATGCATAGAGAGGTAAATAAACATAACAAGTAACACAATCTAGATGCATGAAATCTCTTTATTACTACATACAATCGTGTTGTTTGTTACCAAATGAACTGTTACCAAATATTGCAGCAATACCTTTAACGTTTTTACATAAAAACATTCCAAGATCTTAAGATTCTTTAAAACAAATACAATCGTCTATTTTAAATATAATCCGTACAAAAATCTATCAACATACGACATAACTGTAAGACACAAACACAAAATATTTGCTGAATTGGAAAAACGTCACCTCGAAATAACGATGTTGTACAAAGTAATGTTGTTCAAAGCAAGTTGTAGCAAAGTGAACGTAAACGAAAACAACGATTCTAACATCGTCCTTTCTGACAGAATTATAATTGAATTATTTTGGGATTTTATTACGAATAAAGATAGGAAAATAAAGTTTCATATGCGACCAGCGAATAGTTTGCGATACAATAAAATAAATCTTCTTTAACATCTTTTATATCGTGGTACGGTAATGCTTCTTAGAAAGCCCACTCACTTTTTGTCCCACAATCCGCACATAAATTATTCCCAGGCTTTTTCAGGAGTTCTGCTAACAATTTCTCGTTTAGATCCGCCATCTTGAAACACTGACAAATAGCAAATGTGTATATGCAAAGATTACTCGATACGAAGAAGGTTAACTCGCTGAAAGGATTCTCTACGATTAACCCATAACGATACGATCAGACTATTGTTCATTTAATTTTCTCACTGTGATAAAATAAGAAATCCTTGCTTCTCAGCTTGAATTTTACTTTCGCATCGCGTGCCTGTTTCGTATTGCTTTCGTACGCTGCACACGTCAATTACTTTAATCACTCTGTTCCGTCACGTATCAACTCTAACAAGTAGAGAAACGTAAAAATTTGTAGAAGCCAAATTGTAAAATTCATTGTAAATTTTTTTTTTATCGACTCGAATCAAAAAAAGGATTCACTTTCTAGAATTACTTTTCGCACAAAAAATTATTCCGTCAGTGAGATGTATCATTAACTATTACATAAATATACGTACTTACGTGTGCTGTTAATATTTGTTGTTAAATTGTTTGGAATTACTATATCTTTTCGTACAATCTAAAGAATAATATCAAAATAAAGTAATATTTCAGAACAAAGTACAACTACCGAGTTTAATTATTCAATTTCACCCAAACATGTTTTACATATTTGTACATTTATGAAATTTGATCTCACTAACCGCGTTTTTACAATTACCCAACAGATTAAATCGTTTTTTATTATCAACACAGTAGAGACGATCGGATCTATGATATTTTAATTTGTCAGACTAATAAATAAACATACATTTTTCATTTTTTGTTATATGTATTGTCTAGTAAGGAAATGATTTGGTTATATGGAATTATAATATATGGAATGTGGAATTTTAATCACCTCATTTACCGTAATTATCAAAACATGTTTTGTATGAATATTGCGATAAAGTATATATCGAATCATGCGCATATTAAATCTTTATTAGATGAATAGAATGCTTAAAGTAATATTGGAAAATATAAAGTTTATCGTAATACGTATATGTGCAAATGTATATGTTCAGTACATATTCAGTATTTATAGATTTACAATTACGAAAATTATTGAAAATAATTTCATCGATATGCGTGTATACTCGCACGCGTATCTACTTATAGTATATACATATACGTAATTACAATTTCATTTGCGATGAGAATTTCTAATTTTGAAAGTTGACGTTCGTTTATACGGTCGTTATAGATAGATTTTTCAATTAATAAAATTAAATTAAAAATATACCAAAGATAGCGCTACAATACGATGAAACTTTTTGGAATCATTTATTATATATCAAAGTCGGTGTAAAACAAAATTAATCTTGTTTATATGCTAATGATTCGGTTGTAATTGTAAATAAATGCTATAAAACTATACTATAAAAACTGCAGTTATTAAAAATTTTAAATACGTAGAATAATAACATACGTATATACAGAAATATATTTACACACACACGCACACACACACGC